TTTAAAAAATAATTATTTCTTTAATGCGATCTAATAGATGTATAATATATATAATAGTAATTACTTCACTGTCCAATTAAATTTATATTACTATTTAATTTTAATAAACTTGTAAATGTATTACTGCATAATTGTAACTTAATCACAATAAATTTGTAACTATATCAATATATAATCTTAATAAATTTGCAATTATATTGTTACTTAATCGTGATTATATTGTTTGCCCAATTATTGTAAGACGATTCTGCAAATAAATCTATACATAATTATAACCAAATTACTGTAATTTTGTAATGATTTGGTGACAACTTAATAGAGAATTCAAAATTTCTTAATTGTTACTTAATTGGGGAAATTTGGTAGCAAAATAGTTACTGCTGCCATAACTAAATTAGAACGATTTTCTCATGAATACCGTAACTATTTGATGGCGGCTTTGTAGCGATTTGATAAAGTTTCAGTGGTGAAATAGCAAAAAAATAAGCACTTTCAGTAAAGTATAATAGTGCTATGGCATTTGCTTCTGTTGTATCAAACATTCAGTCACCTTCTGGCCATGGACCATATGTATACAAGATATCAGAACAGATGTATTATTTTTTAGGATTAGTACAACCAAATGAAGGTAATATTCTATCCTTTGGACAGTTCTATTTCTTAGATACAGCTGATACCCAAAAATATAGAAATAATAATTTGGCAAATGCAAAGCTTGATTCTGCATTACTTTTGTTACTAGATTCAGTATTATGGCAAGTAAGCCTATTTTCACAAGCATTCGAAATGATGAGGGAGATGGAACAAAATGATTATAATGCAGCAATATAACAAGATCATCAGCCAATGGAGATATAAATAGTTTTTGATAATAACTGTCATCTTAATCAGTGTTGTTACAATGTATCACAGGTAAATAAGATTGCAGCAATTTTTGTTAATTCCAATAATAATATTTTTCCTTTTCACGCTCTTGCTATATATTTATGTGATGGCCAGTTCAAGACAATTCCAATTATCAATAGTGATTATAATCAATGTTATATCCATTATTATTTCCAAGAGGTAATAAAGAATGGCATCCATATATATTAAATAATAGACAAAATCAAACAGGACAAAAATATATATCAATATTACAATTTTACTATTATAGGATATCTCAAAGAAATACTTTTAATCCAATCCTATATGCTGCTGAACTCTTTTAACAGTACTTAGTTGATACATATGTAAAGGTTAAAGAAACAAAACTAAACTATTGGCATCAAAATCAAACAATATTGCAAGCTGAAACATAACAGGAACTATCAGATTATTTGACTATTAATGCTGAAAAAAGAGGAACTATTGTGGAATGTGCAATTATATTATTATCAAGTTTTTCAGGAAGTCCAAGAGCAATGCAACAAAGTTATTAAAATGCTATGACAATATGTTGAGCATTTGGTAAGCCTGATATTTTCCTAACTATCACATGTAATTCGACTTGAAAAAAAATTATTCAATCTCTATATCCTGGACAGATTGCTACTAATCAATCAGATATTGTAGACAAATTATTTAAGCTTAAATTAGATATGCTAATAGAAAATTTGCTAAATAATGAAATCCTTGGAAAAGTAATTGCATATACAAGAGTAGTTGAATTTCAAAAGCATGAATTATCTCATTGTCATATGCTATTAATTCTTGTTAATGAAAACAAATCACAAGATCAAGATACTATTAATCAAATAATAATTTGTGAAATATCAGATTAAATTGTATATTTACGATTATATAAAATTGTCGCAAAAACTATAGTTCATGATCCATGTATTTATTTAAATTATAAAGCATCATATATGGATGGAAAAAATAATCCTGTATGCATAAAAGATTATCCCCAAAACTTTTGTCAGGAGACTATTTTAAATAATGATGGATTCTCAAAGTACTAGCAAAAAGATACTGGTAGAACAATAAAAATCGGAAAACATGAAGTAAACAATTAATAGATTGTACCATATAATCCATATTTATTGTTAAAGTATCAAGCTTATATCAATGATGAAATCTGTTCTACTGTAAAAAGCTTCAAATATCTCTATAAGTATATATTGTTGGTAGTAAAACAGCGAGTCTGTCGCTTGGGGCAGGTCAAACTCATGTAACGTCAAGGTAGGTTGTTCTCTTTTCTCTACTCAATGGTGTGGATTTGACTTAGTCAATCTTGAACCTATAATTAATCTTTTTCTTTCCTTTGTTACTCTTTGTTGATTGTTTGAGTCACTATTTCTTTTAGTGACTACCAGAATGATTCTCTTGTGGCAACATTACTCTAGAAGGGGGGTTAATTTCCAACTTCCTTTTTAGGCGCGTCTATCACATCACTACTTATAGTAACTGTAATTAACACTTGCACGACCATTTCGCGCTTCTACAAGAATGGTAATTATGTTTATTACTTTTTTGTGTTAAGTTTCTTTTTTTTTTGTTGTTGTTCTTTTTTCGCTATCTTATTTATATCACTATGACTATCTGCTATAGGACTATAACTTTATGACTCATAAACTATCAGACTATAA